GCGGAACCGCATCACGGAGGGCATCTACGGCAGGTAGGGCCCGGGCCCGCCGCGGAGCGCGGCCTGTCATATCCGCGGCCTGTCAGCGCCGCCTCGCCGCCCGCTAGGCCGCTGCCCGGGCGCCGGGGTCCGCGCGCTGCTGGCCAAGGTGCTGTCCCCGCCGGAGCACCCCACCCCCCGCACGACGGGGCTAATGCTGCCGAGCCCCGCCGCTGCACCTGCGCGGACGAGGGGCAGAGGGGAGACTCCCGGCGCGGAGGGTGAAGCGGTGGCCGTGTTTACACCCCGCTTTGTGCGGGGCGATGCGTGGAGCTTTCCCCATCCTCGCGGTCTGTGGGTTTTGAAGCAGCACGTGCCTGGTTTGGCTCTGGGCCGTTTCGCAGCTTTCTCCGGAGTCGGTGTTTTTATTTCTGTTTTATTTTGAGTCCTTATTCGGCCACTAAGAATGAACCGGGGGGCGGCGGAGCGCCGTTTCTGACATTCACCTTTTTTGGGGGGTTAAAAAAGAAGTCGCAGTGTCCCTTTAAACTCATCCCCAGCGGTCAATGGCAGCACATGTTTGTAAACCCGTCGCACAGTCTCGCAGACCCCCTCGGCTCTTTCCTGGCGTTGACGGAGAGCGGTCGCGCATCTCGGCCGTGCGTTTTGTGGAGGTGGGAGGGGGGATTGAAATCGCGGAGGAGTCAAGGGGCTTGGGTTTCAGTTCGGCAGCGTGGATTTCAAAGGACGTTCAACCATTGTGTCCATGGGACTGGCCGTGGATTTGGGGAGATGCTCAGCCCGTTTCCACCCCCCACAGATTTTGTATCCTTTTTTCAATAAGGACGTGTTTGTTTTCTGGTGTAGACCTAACACACAAAGCTATTGTGCCTTGCTTGTGCATGCAAAAGAACTTTTTCCCTTGAAAGTTCCTGCTATTGTGGAGCCAAGGTTGGAACATTTTTTCACACTGTGTAATATAGCTCTGCTCAGAATAAATCTAGATGACACAGTGGTACAAATTTCAGAAGCTGCCAGCACCTGGTCTATATTAAAGCACCTACCAGTGGAGCCATCCTTTAAGACAAAAAAAATAAAGCTGTGCGAAGAGGAAACATAATAGATCAAGGAATAATCAAAATATTACAGACATGATCGGTCCATGGCTTCCTTCTTGTCCCCTGTAACGATGAAATAGGCTTCATAAATGAATCAAGGGTGGTAACCTGGTTGAGAAGGGTTCTGAACATGTCCGTAGCCCACATCAAGTCATAAGTCTTTCCTTTATTAACTACAGGACGGTAACTTAATTTATAACGTAAACAGCATTTAGAAAGAGAAATTCTACAAGC